TTTTCGTCGCGCTGTGATGACGTCAAAGGCGCGATTTTGTCGATCGCGCTTTTGCCGTCCGCGCTTTTGACGGGTCACGCATGAGGCATTTGGGTTGGGTTGCTTGGCCTCTGGCTTCTTTTGCAGCCACAATTGGCTGCAAAAGTGACCGGCATTTGCTGGAGGCAGAGGCCTGAGCAGCACCTGCAAATCAGCTGTTTTGTGAATGGAGTGGCTCAGCTGATCCAATTAAGGGGCCAAGAAGCCCTCAGGTGACCGGGAAAGGGAAGAGCTGTCCCCTGTTCTGGCTAAACCCACCCCTTGACTAGGGCTTATTTTGGGGGTGGCTTATATTTTTGCTCACCCCAAAAATCTGGCATGGCCTTATTTTCAGGACATGTCTTATTTTCGGGGAAACACGGTAGTGTATATGTGTTTCTATGTTGCGTCATTTCTAAGGCTTGGGAGAGGAACAAGACCCTCTAATAACAATAAACAAAAAGGCCTTATTATTATTTATTATTTTACTTTGCTTAAACAAAGGATTTGGAAAAAATGGAGCTCATTGGCTTGTGAAAGCTCCCTAAAATAATAATAACAATGATTGCTTTGCCTGGATAAAATATGAAAGGAAATATTTGTATGTGGATTTTTTTATGCAAGCAGTTTGAATGGAGGATAAATGTGTAAGTATGCTGATGTGTAAATGTTTGTATGTGTTGACTCCCTATCCCCAGACTGTGAAAGGGGTTAATTATTTTGATTCCTTTTCTTATAAAGAAACCCAGTGCTCCTCCCATTAAACTTGAGGACTCTGAGACTGGTCTGTCACCCCCTACTTACGCATGGAATGGGACGACCCAGATGAGGAGATCTCAGAGAAGTGGGGAGGCTGAGGAACAATGTAATCAAACAGCGAGTGACTATTGTGACATCCAATCTCATTCAAAACTAAAACCAGAAATGCAGACTCACTCAGAGAAAATATAGTGGTAGGAGGAGGAAATAGATTCTGTCGAGTGTTAGTTTACACACCATTTTTTACTTCTGACCTTTATAACTGGAAGCAACAAAATCCCAGTCATAGGGAAGACCCAGAGAAAATCCACTCTCTCTAAGCAAACTCTGGTGGTCTCCCAGTACACAGATATTGAGGTTGGGTGAATCTTGGAAAATTAAATCATTTTCAGATTCAAAGGGAATGATGGGCTGGCTGCTAAAGCAAAGTCATGGTATACACTTGAAAGTAAATCAGGAAGACTAATTGTGGGGGTCTGTCTCGCAAGAACAAAGAATGTTTAGACAACTTGCAGACCTCAGCTAAAAGTTAGGAATAGAGGTGGCCAGCAGCAAATAAAATGTGTATTAGATAACTCCTGGGGCATTCATTAGCCAAACCTTAGGAATAGGGGCAGCTCGAGACCAATATAACAAATTGTAGAATTATTACTAAGATGTTTATTAGATGATATTTCTTGCTATCTCACCTTGTCCCGCCTTCTCCTTTAGTGAAAATGTATAAAGCTTACTTAATCCTTTGTTCTTGGTTCTTGGCCTTTTGACCAGGAACCCTTTTCCTTGGAGTACTCCAATAAAAAGCAATCAGAAAACCTGCACCTTGTGTCTGGGAGCCCGCGAGCGAAAGATACACCGATATTATGCATTTCAAAAAGGGGAAAATAATGCTAGCATACTTATGCATAAGTAATAGATGTGGGATTACTTCTTGGCATCCCTGGGAAAACAGTAGTGCCGGGCACATAGCCAACATCCTATATTTCCATAATAAAATTATTTTGTTCGTAAGATCTTCAAGAAGACTCGCCCCTTTCCATATCCAGTGTACAGGCAGTCCTCAATGTATGACAATCAAAGCCCCGATTTTTGTAGGTAGGCAAGACTCAAAAGGGGATCATAGGAGCCCGGCATAAACACACACTGGACGTTCTCCAGCTGAACAGACATGAGGGAGGGTGGACTCTCAAGAGCCTCACATGAATCCTGTCTGGCAAACTAATTCCGAGACCCTTTTTGGATCAGAACCCCCCTGGAGAGGGGCAAAGAAGGGGCAGCATCTCATCAGACCCAGGGGTAGGCAACAAGTCCCCCACAGGTCAGAGATTTTCCCTCTGAATCGGAGTCAGGGCAGCAGCATGGCAACATGGCTGCACAAGAAACTGGCTTCCAGCCAAATCAACTGAACAGGAGTGTGAGGACGAGATGAAAGACCGATAAGAAAATTCATTTAACCCACAGTCATAAATCAAAGCTTGGAAAAGGCAAAGAATCTTGAGAGCACAAATAATATTAATAGACAGATCTGGATTTTGGCAAAAGGAAAGAAAGAAAGAAAAAGAAAGAAAGAGAAAGAAAGAGAAAGAAAGAGAAAGAAAGAAAGAAAGAAAGAAAATGGAAGGTTGAAACACTAGCCTCCCAAAAAAGCCATTTGTTTGAAACAATTCAGACAGAAAGGGAGAAAGCAGAGAAGTGACCAACCCACTCAAATATAAACTCTAAATTTCGTTTTGGATTTGAAATGGAAACCAAATATTCTGAAGGATTTACTTCATCTGAATTTCTTCCAACTAATATATCTTAAGCAACTCCAATTAATGAGAGGTGGAATGCAACTAGGGAAAAAGATCAAGAAAAAAGCACTATTTTCTTACTGATAACTGATAACCTATTCTTGCCTGTGCAGGAACTGCCATAAATCAGAACTTGGAAAAGCAGGAGCGAAGAGAAACATACCCGAGTTTGGCTGTATGCAAGTTTGTTCCAATTAATATATTTTGAGCAACTATAACCAATGAGAGGTGGAAAGTAGCAAGGGAAAAATGATAACAAAATCAAGAACTGGGGAAATGCGAAGTTTTTCTTCTTTTTTCTGCAAAAGATCAAGATGGCTCGAATTCGACAGGAAGTTCTTCAGCTGGACAGACGTGGGGGATGTGAACTCTGAAAAGCCTCACATGAACCCTGTCTGATAAACCTTCTCCGGTATTCCTTTTTTGGAGCAGAACCTCCCTGGGGGTGGGACGAAGAAGGGCAGTGTCTTATCAGACCCAGAGGGAAGCAACAGATCTCTCGCAGATCAGAGATTTGCCTATGAATCAGAGTCAGGGCAGCAGCCTTCAAGATGGCTGACAAGATGTTGACTTTTTGTCAAAATAATTTTGGAGCCGGAGGAGAGCGGAAAAGATGAAAAGCTGGGTAAGAAAATCTATTGAACCCACAACTATAAATTAAACCTGGAAAAGGCAAAGAAATTCTGAGAACATAAATAATATTGATGGTCAGACCGGGACTTTCTTTCTCCAAAAGAAAAGGAAGAAAGGAAGGTGGAGGATTGTAACACTACCCCTCCCCAAAGCTCTTTGTTTGTAATGCTTTCAGACAGAAGGATAGAAAGCAGAGAAGTGACAAACCCACGCAATTATAAACATTAAACTTGGTTTTGGATCCCGAAGGGTTTACTTTTACTTTGTCTGAATTCCTCCCAGCTAATATAAAAAAGAGAAAAGCATCTCTTCTTACTGATAACGGATTGACGGTGTGGGAAATTTTAATTAACCAACTGCCATAAATTAGAAGGAGACAAGGAGAAACTCTTGGCTGATTACAGGCTTGTTATGGGTGATTTATTTTGAACAGTTATTAAAGGAAAGAATAGACATTGCACTCAAGAACTGAGAAATATGGTTTCTTTTTTCTTCCCCTCTCCTTTTTTTTCTCTTCTTTTCTCCCTTCTGCAAAAGATTAAGATGGCGTCAGCTTCTCTTCCTGTTTCAAATTACTTGGATTAACTAAATTTAAGGTGGACCAGAAATTTTGAAATACGACTTGTATAATTAACTGCAATCTTGGAACTGGATACTAAGGAAGAACAAAAGACT